GCGCTTTACATCCCAGCGGACGTTTGAACCAGAGAAGTCGAGATGCACTTACAGCGTTGCTGAAAAACGCGTTTATTTTTTAACTCGTTATATACAGAATCGTGGCTTGCCGCCAGATGTACCATACATAGCTGCAGTTCGTTTTACATCTTTGTTCCATCTCCGAAAGTGTTTTGTTGCGACCGTCTGCAAGCAAACCAAGTGACTAGACTAAAAACTCCCCCACCACGGTATTCATTAAAACATAAATCAGCTGGCCCATACCCGTGATTTGAAAACCTGCCCTTGCAGCACGGTTCTAACAGATCTTGCGGGGGGGGGAAGCCTGAACGCTGCTTTGGAGGATTACTGCCAGATACCGGTTCTCGTTCGACGAACTTAAGAGAGACAACGCTTGTTGCCACTGTCCTCCCTGCATGTCTGCTGAGCAACATACAAAAACCCGCTGAATGCATGTTACGGTGCAGGTTTGCACTTGCCCGTGAAGTATCCAGGTACCAGCTCACCTTTGCTGCCAGGATCACCTAACGTGGTCCCAGCCACCTTCACTGGTTCCAGGTCCTGTTGCTAGCAGCTGAAGTAGGAAATCGGCCTTTCCGCACAGAAAGTTGCGGCAAGCATGAAGGCTTTTCCATTATGTTAAGCTAACTTGATTTGAAAAGAAAAGTTACTCCCCTTTTGATCTACCTATCACAATGGGGCTAATGCTCGGTTTGGTGAAACGCTGTACAATCACCTCAAACGTGAGTGGCACGTGTAAATATTAACTGAAGGTTTTTGTTCGAGTATGGTTTTCAAAACTTAAAGATCACTCTGCTTATAGGCCAAGCATAATTGTAGCACTGTTATTCAAGTGACTTGAGCCTTCTGGGGGAGGCAAGGTGAGAAAAGCACCGCCAAAGGCATAAATCGTTAAAAAACAGGATCAAGCTTTAAGAACACTGCTGGTTCTGCAGCATTACCCCAAGAAATGAGGGACTGTGATCACTCAATCTTCATTACTGTATGTAAAAGCAATGCGACTTCTAGAAACTTTCTGGCTGCAGTTTTTCAAGTCAGTCCCGTCTTGCAGATAGTGTTTTAACACAGCACCGTGGGAAGTGTGGGGGGAGAATGGAATGCAAAATTGTTTAACAGTTACAAAAGAAACTGTGCAGTTTGTACAAACAGTCTGATCACAAGAGAAGCAGAATTGCTCAAGGACGTTTCAAATGGCATTGCTGGTAAATCTGATCCGATCGTGTAACTCCTACATCGCTCTATCCTCAAATTCCACCAACATCAAGTCCAGTCTTTATCATGATACTGATAAAGGTACTGATCCTAAGTACCAGAACAAGAAAACAGTATGACAAAATAAGACTGCCACGATACATTCAATGATGAAAGGTGTCCTTGTTTCTTGCCAACTACTGAATTGATTTGCTGAATTCCAAGGAAAATATTTAAAGGCTTGAGACAAGAAGAAAGAGGGCACAGGAAGACTGTAAACAGCTGTAACGTAACTACCTCTGAAGACCTATGTTATTACCCTGTTGACAGGTTTTCACTGAAGACAAGAGATTGTTTTCTTTGCAGTATTAAGACCCCAACATGCATAATTCTTTCTTAAACACACTCTTTCTCTTTCCAGTCAAGAAGTCTCAATTTACAGTTTGTTTCAGCAATGTGCCATGTCCCAGACTACTGTCACAGTTTAGCATTCTAAACCTGGACTGCTTCCTTGGGTAAGACAAAAAGGTATAGTTGGCTACAGTACACCTACAGCTGTGTTATGGTATTATGAAAAAAATCAAGTAAATGACAGAATAATGTATCTTGAAGAAGTGAAGTTTACCTGTGTGCCAGGATGCTCACTGGTTAATTACTTTAAGCTTCAAACTATTGCGTTTGAAGTTATTCATATAAAAAGTACAAAAAAATTATTTTACAGTGTGTTTTTTGAGTCTTCCCAAGAAACAGAAAAGTGTCTACAATTTTTTCCCCTCCCTATTTCTCACTGTTAACCTGTAGATTTCTCTCCTTAAAAAAATAACTTGACATAAATTTAAAACAGTAACATCTATTTGCTCTGATTCATTAAGTTTAGAAATCAGATTTGTATGCTGAGACATAATATAAAATCTTTTTATTTCTATTATCTAACAAAATGTGCAAAAAACATGACTTCATGTGTTTTTTACTCCCTGTGATAAACATGTAATTTTTTTTTCATTCAAGGAGTCTTCAAGCTACATTTGAAAGAAAGAAAAATATTTTTCAATTGATTATTGTCCTGATTTCAGCTAGGTCAAAGTTATTTTCTTCTCAGTAGCTGGTACAGGGTGTTTTGGATTTAGTGTGAGAATAATGTTGATAACACACTGATATTTTAGTTGTTAAGTAGCGCTTATCCTAAGTTAAGGATTTTTTCAGTTTCTCATGCTCTGCTGAGGGAGCATGGCCAGGACAGCTGACCTGAACTAGCCAGAGAGATATTGCATACCATAGAACATCATGCTCTCTATATGAACTGGGGGGTGTTGGCCGGGAGGGGCCAATCACTGCTCAGGCACTGGTCAGCAGGTGGTGAGCAATTGCACTGTGCATCACTTGTCTTTTCTTGTGTCCGTCCCCCCACCCTCTTTTTTTTTGTTAATATTCCTTTTCATTACAATTATTATTATTAATTATTATTGTTTTTATTATATTTTATTTTACTTTAGTTATTAAATAGTTCTTATCTCAACCCAGGAGTTTTACTTTTTTTTCCCCAATTCTTCTCCCCATGCCACTGGGAGGTGGGGGAGTGAGCGAGCAGCTGTGTGGTGCCTTGTTGCTGGCTGGGCTTAAACCACAACAATTATGTTTGCATTCCAATATAAACTATTTCCATTTCCCACTGCTAACATGAAATTATAATCATGATGTTCCATTCGTAAGAGATTAAGCATGGAACATATCCAGACTTCCGTTTAATAAACACCAAGTACAGATTTCCATTATTTTCACATATACAGCAAATATTCAAGTCCTTATTTCCTTTATAAAAGCACCTTGATCCTATTTTAATATAGTGCTTAAAAAAATTCAAATATATAGTACATTTGTTTCTGTACATGTATGTGCAAGATCTCCTGTCAAAAATACGAGTATGGAATCCTACAGCTTCACCGTTTGCACCTCTTTTGGTGAACAGAACCTTCTATCACATGATATAAGTACCATCTTTGTAGTATTTCATGGATTCTAGTTGCTGAGTCATTGCAAGGACATCCTGAAATCCTGTACTGAGTCCAGACATGTGTTGAAAATAAGCTTCCTTCTCCACTTGGACAGTTAGGTTGTTTACGCCAGCATCTTTCAGAATTGCTGTAACCTGAATAGAACAGTATGGTTAACATTAGTATTACACTTAATATGCATCTCACAGTAACTTGCAGTATTCTGGCTCTGAAATACTGTAGATTAAAAAAAAAATCATCATGAAGAATTCAATTTTCTGGAAAATTGAGCTTCAGAGGGTATAGCTTTGCAACTTCTGCATAATGGGTAATTCTCAGTGTCTTGCATAAGTAAATAACCACCTTTTTAAGGAAAAGAAAACCCCAAGGCAGACAGATATTAGCAAGCCAGTTATAAACCCACGATTAGCATCCCTATATCCCTACTGTTTAGTGCCTGTTTTGTAGCATGAAATCCACCTCCTCCTCCTTGTCTCATAGCACATGTAGTGCCACTTTCAACAGCAAGAAAAAAATGCCCATATTTTTTTTATTTGGTAGGTGTTTTAGCAAACAACTCTTTATGCAGCTAATTCCAAGCTAGCAGGCAAGAGGAAGTACAGCATTAGGGACCAGCTCCGAGACATTAACTAAAAACTACAAAAACAATCACAAACAGCAGCTTCAAACTTCAGCCTCCGAAAAAGGGCTGCAGAGTAAGAAATTAAGACATTAGGTCTAAAAACCTTGTACCTTACCTGCTGTACAATCCTCTGTTCCATCACATCTGATACCACTTGCACATGTATTGTACCTGCCACAACACTTGCAGAGTGACACCAAAAATGAGGATCTCTGTAAGATATGACTCCCTCTATTTTTTGAATCTGTAAAGAAATTACATTAGCAACAATTAATTTAAGAACACATTTTAAACTTGTGTACGTACATGGATGTTGGTGGCAAATATTTCACAGAGAAACAAAGCTGTATAACAAAGCAGCTTTCCAGCTAAGCTGTTATTCAGAAGTATGTAGTACTGAAAGGTCACCTTACTATTACTGTCAAAGACAAGAAGATAAAAGTCAAACTAAATGAAAAAATGAGCACAGTGCAATGCTAAATAGGAAGAGAAAAAAGTCATTCAGTGTACAGATCACAATAACATCAATGTATAGACCAACCAGAAGGCTGGCTGGGCATTTAACAATTTCTAGGGCATCTGTTACCTCACTATCCAGGATAAGCAGCTAGTTATCATAGCTGCACTTAATTCAGAGACATAGTATCTTCCCATAATTTTATCATTTTATTAAATTGATCTTTGTACTGGATCTGGCTGGGATGATTTGAACTCTTTTCATAACAACCTGTATGGTGCCGTGTTTTGAATTTATGCCTAAAACAGTTCTGATAGCACGCTGCTGTTTTGGCTGTTGTTGAACAGTGCTTGGGCACTGTCAAGGCTTTCTTTTTCCCACTCTGCCTGTGCCCTGGTGAGTAGGCTGGGGGTGGGCAAGAAGTAGGGAGGGGAAACAGCTGGGAAAGCTGACCCAAGTTGGCCAGAGGGAAACTGCATGCCATATAATGCCACGCTCAGCAGTAAAAACTGGGGTAGAGGAAGAAGGGGGTTTTTTGGCTTCCAAGGTGGCTGTTGCCTGGAGACTGACTGGGCATCAGTCTGCTTGTGGGAGGTGGTGCAGTGCTTTTTTTTTTTCCCCTCTCTCCTTCATTTGTTAAACCACCTTTGTATTGCTCCTAGATTTTTCTTGCTTTTGCTCTTCCTTTTCTCTCCCTTTACCACCACCACTGCTGGTGGGACAAGTGGGGAACAAGCAAGTGGCTGTGTGGATGCCTGGCTGCTGGCTGGGGTCAACCTACAGCAAGCATATTGTTTTACTGTGATGTATTTTTTAAAATGCTTTTTCTATTATCTTTCAACGAATTGCTCTTTCACTGTTTTCAAAAAGTACTTTCTTCTTCCTCGGTCTCCCAGAATTGCTGTCTTCCCTTGTCAAAAAGTGAAACCCCACTCTGCACCTCACTTTCCTTTCACTAAGCAAGCCTCTCCCAGCCAATTTCCATTTATTCTTTTCTTTCTCATGCAGACAAGAACACATCTCCCTCTCTACTGCCAGGACACCAGGATAGTGTTCCTTGCTGCCTCTAGTTGATGGCATCCTCAACAAACATGTAACTAGTTCTTTGACAGAGAGGTGTTTCCCACACTGAGGTCTGCACTATGATTCTGGGCAGGAACTTCAAATGAGCCAACAGTGAAGACTAAGTACAGCCTCAAAGTAGATACCGTACTGCAGCAGACAGGAAAAGAATGGACTAGAATGAAAAAGTAATTAGAAAAAAAAAAGCTGTACTTTTTCCATCTCACCTACTGGGAACCAGCATGCCCTTCATGGTATGGACAAATAAGAAAACCTGCAATTACAGGCTCAAGATATAATCCTGTGGCCTGAACTGTACACATCAAGTTTAAAAAGGCAGCAAGCTTTTGGGAATTGCTACCTTACTTTCTTAGTGCTAAGTACCTTTCCTGCACTGTTACCATCATTGTCTGAAATGATGAGCTACCCATGAAAGCAAAAAACAGTACAAGGTTTTTTAGCTGCAAAACAACTTTCATCAGTAGAACTCCTAATCCTGTCACATATCTGCAAAATAGATTTAAAACAACCCGAGACATTAAGTTGTCTAAGACAACAGAAGCTGTCAGACTGAACGACTTGAGTTTAATAATTATTAAAAAGTTTTAGCTTTGTATGTTTGTGTATGAAAACATTTAGAATTGTAGTTCTGACCTTTTCTAAAGCTGCATGCAGATCTTTCTCCTGTTCTGGAGGTATCCTCAACAAAAGCACTTGACAGGCATCTTTCAATAGTGGGATAACACTAAGAAAAATCAATGTAGCAATAAAAAGAGAGCAGAGTGGATCAGCTATGAGCCATCCAAATTGCTGAATAAATATCGTTGATACGATAACACCAACACTGCCAAGAGTGTCTGCTAACACATGCAGAAACACACCTGAAAACAAAATGAACTGAGTGATTAAGTTGAACAGCTCTGTTTAAAATGTACATATATGTTCAACAGCAGAAACACAGTAGGGTTTATTAAACATAATAAACACCCCTCAAGCTAAACAGAGGTAACTAGCTACCTAACCTGGTGCAAAATTAAACAAAACATTTAGCTTTTCTAATATTTAATTACAAATCAATGTAAAAAAACCATTTTTACTCCACAGCGCAATGATCTAGGCAAGCATTCACAGATTAAACCAAACGTGAAGAGTCTTCAAATTGTTAGTGGGATTTGTACTATATAGCATAATCATTTAACTGCGTATAGAGGGACTCATTGATCCGTAACAGAGGATAAGATCAGTGCAAATGCATTGGCCTGCTCATGTGGACAGACAATAATATATCATTTGGGTTTTGTATGCCAGTTCTGCTCCAATTTTATAAGACTGTCTATCTGCTACTGCTATGAATTTTATACTTTATACTGCTTTAAGGATGGGTAGCATTCTCAATGTACACTCAATGGGCATAGAAGAATAATCTCTAACCTTTTGTAAGATTAGTGCTAGTTAAGTGTCAGGATTTGAAAGAATACTCTGACAAGCTTACACGAACAACTCATTCCTTTATAGATTTTTTTATAAGCCAGGTGGTCGGTAAATAACTACTTTCTAACTGCTAGGGGAAAAAATTCTAAGAAGTAGCTATGCTGAAATTTTATATATATTGCCCTTCTCAGTTAGCTTCTGAATTTAGATTTGAAAAAGAAAGTTTCATCTTTACCACCGTTATCTTCTGAATCACAAATAGAAGCATATTCTAGGTTGCTGGCCTGCATTTGTTCTGCTTCTTATCCCCTCCTCCAGTGTTTTTTTCAACCAGCTATCATGTGATACCTAGAAGCATGGTAATACCTTTATAGATAGAGACCTTGTACTTTCATTTCTAGATGGAACTTAGAAACAAGGACTTTAAGCTTATTCAGTAAGGTTTACAATGACTACTTATTAATCTTAGTGAAGGCTGTAGATTAATGCTTTTTATTGGTCCTTAAGTATTACCCACACCTAAGAAAGCCTTGCAAAGAAACGTTTCAAGTTATGTTTCTTCAAAGCCATGCAAAGAAATGTTTCAAGTTGTGTTTCTTCAAGTTGAACTCATTAATGAAGAAACAGTTTGAGAAATTCATGTATACCATGTTAAATGGCTGTCAGATCACTTCTGGAGACAGATTTTAAGAATGATGCATAGTACTGGGTCTGATTCTGAGAATCTTCAAAGCCTGCTGGAAATCACATACATCATTTACGATTCAACAATCTGTACTTGCCTCTCATGTTGGTATTCATGCCTCCTCCAGAAGTCCCGTGGGAATGTCCATGACTGTGCCCATGGTCACTGTGGGAATGGCTGTGCCCATGGCCGTGGCTGTGCCCATGGTGAGAATGGCTGTGATCGTGTGAGTGACAACCTCCCCGAGAAACCCCATGGGAGTGTGCGTGGCTAAAGGCACAGATACCAACAAGGTTTACGATCAGCCCTCCAACAGAGACTGGCTGTGAGAGGGAGAGAAGTCTTTAACTTCACTACATCTGCCCAGAAGTTCAAGTTTATTTTCTAGAACACGGTAATCAGAAACACTGTGCACCTAATTAAGAAAAACTGTGGAAGCATTAACATCAACAGGATTATTCTAATATGGATTCCTCATCATATTCCTTTCAGTATACAAGCTGGTTTCAAAGGAATTTTCCTTCCCTCTCAAAAAAATCCAATTCTCCCCAACCTTCCCAAAAACCCTACCCAATAACCACCACCAAAATGCAAAACCTGGTAACCACAAATTGGGACAAGATAGCAAATTTAGTTTTAAGAAGGGGTGATTGATTTTATCTATTTTCATAAAGAGGTAAAGTGGTTTGAATACAAGGTTTGCTTCACTTTCATTGCCCCCCCCCCCCCCCGCCCCAATTCTATATTGTCTCTAGGACACGCACACTCATCTAAAATTGTACTTAACTGAAGACAGCAACTGCTGATTTACTGGTCAAGTTGTGCTTTTTATCTATCCGCCTATTTTTCTACTCTTCTCTTGAAAAATGAGCAAAGCATAAGAGTAATTCCAGCTAATAGAGGAATTAAGCAAGTCCTAGTCAGGCGTTACTAGACCTTTCCTTGGCTATGCAGACTGTGCTCATATAGAGGGGGCAACCCTTCCCACCCCCAAGAAATAAAATCAGTAGTAAAAATGGAGCAAATATTGAAGATTAAAAAGAAAAAAAAATCAGGTCTCAGTTCCAGCAGTGCACATTTCTAATTGTGCCTACATAAAAATCTTTCTCTTTGTTACCGAAGAGAGCAGGAGAGCACAAATTTCTCTGTGTGTGTGTGTGTGTGTGCGCGTGCGTGCGTGCATGAAAGAAAACAAGTGAAGCTGGAAATGTGATAAATGAAGGCTTGAATTTGCAGAATTCCATAACAACAAAAAATTATTTGAAGAAAATGAACTACTGCATTTGAAAGAAATGGATGGAAGCTTGAAAATTTAAGTAGGGAGCCCCTGAAGAGGCTGTGGAAGGTAGAGAGACACTGGTGTAGTTAAGATTAGCTATGCACAGCTTCAGGATTGTTTATGCCATACTAACACACTCAGCATTATGTTACGAATTCTGCCTGATTTTTGAGGTTTCTCAGAGACTAACGCAAAATCTTTTCTGTAATAACTGACATTGGTATACATAACAGCTGAACCAAATTTAGTCTTGTACAGATTATTTACTCAGTATCTTTTATTGTAGAAAGACCACCATCTAAAAAGATTACAGCTGTAACATCTTAGAAAAAAATTCAATTTAACATAATTAAATTATATTCACCCCTATATATTTTCATATTTTAAAACCAGATGTAGTTTGGATTTTAAAATTAGAGTATGTTAAAAAGTCAAGGCACAGTTTAGATTAGAGTATGCAACTTTAGTCTCCTTTCTTTTTTTTTTAATTAAGACAAACATAAATGAACCATTAACTGCCAAACAACATTGAAACAGAATGACAAAACTTACAGTTAGCATATTTGTATCTATGTCTGGAGGATCCACCAGTCTGGCCACCGATTCCATGAAGACAAAGAAAGCAATTACCATCAGAAAGAGGCCATTAATAAATCCAGAGAGAATTTCTACACGTCCATACCTGAAAGCAAACATATGTACTTTTAAGAGTGAAGAATGGGTACTCTGAACAAATTTCAAAGTTATAATACATTTAATACAGCATTAAGATTGCTTTGATTTTTTCCTCAATGCTACAAAACTCTGCCTTAATTTCTGGGTTATTTACTTCTGACAAGGAGGAACCTAGTTTGCAACTGTCCAAACACCAATAGTATAAAGGTATAATAATGTAAGTATTTTTTTATATATAGTGCACAATCAGGGCTTCAAATTGCTAAACTGCTATGCAATTTAGCCATACAAATTTTGATTATGTCAGCAGAATTGAAATCCTCACATAAACACTGACTTTGAACATATATTTTTGTTTGACATACATATATATATACAGAGTGAGGCAATTTCTAAATAATATTCAAGTGATAAAGTTTTATTTGTAGAGATAAATGAAAATTACATTTCAGACACTTTTTTGCAGGGATAAGAGGGGAATAGCATGACCACAAACAGAAAAGAAGAGACATAGCAAAAACCCCACAGAAGCATGCAACACTAAAACATCTCAAACATATCTTTATAGCAGGACATTTTGAAAATGAGCAAGTAGAATAATTTTCAGATAGTCCTTCAAGAACCTAATATACATACCCATAGGAAAATATGCGAGTTGCTTTCCATCTTGTCATCAGAGCTGCAAAAAGCCCCATCACTAAGGCAGAACAATCAAAAAGCATGTGAAATCCATCAGAAATAAGACCAAGGCTATTGGTCCACACTCCATAAAAAAGCTCCACAAAAGTGAAAGCCTAAAACGAAAGGGAGTTTGAATTTTTTCTCAAAGATTAACTTCTACTTTAATGTCTTGGTAGCTAGCAGGAAACTCTTATAGAACACTTGATAGTTTTCAAAGGTATTGTTCGAAGTATTTCTAGACCATTTTCTCTCTCCTCCAACAAAACAAAAGCGATACATTCCAAGCCTACGAAGAGACATTTTTGAACCTACACTCCCAGAAGCCTTAGACCTAAGAAAACAACCCTCCACAGGAGTAAATTTAAGTTTTCATTTAGAATTTTAAACTAACATTGTGCAGACAAAATTTTCAGCATTTTGTCATTAAACAATGTAACAACTCTGATCTGATCTATTATTAGTGTAAAAGCAATGCTGTCTACGTATCTGTAAGAATTTTCTTCACCAATTAGTTGAGTGCTTAACCTTAGGAATTAGTTTTGAGGACAGTACACGCGGAAATATTTTTAATACATACATTTTCCCTGCATGATTTACTATTATTAATTGGTCTGCCTATAAGCGTTCTTTTCCATCTTTTATACTCTATAGTGGAATTTGTTAAAGTTATCACAGATACTTCAAGTTTCTCCCCGTTTCATTGAATAATTGCCAAAGAATGAAGAGAGATCTTTGCAAATGACGTTCTATCCATCTTGCTTACTGTATGATCTTTTCCTGTCCGAAAGAGAAGCTAGAAATAAAACTAGCCTACTCCAAAATGGCACTAAGCGATCCCACACTTACTCTTCTGTTGTCCCCATCCTTGAAGGCCTCACTAGCTTCAGCTTATCTGCTGGTAACATTGAGATACCTCAATCTTAAACGTACCATCATGCAAGTATTTACTTACTGGTATAATAGTTACCGCATAGAACCAGTGCCGCAGTGTGACAACAAACCAAAGTGACCTGCCACTTACTGTAAGATTAGTGTTAAGAATCTTCTGTTTTAACATTCCATCTAATGAAACTACTCTATCAAGGGTCACTTTAAAAACAATCAATCATGAGGCCCTTTTAAAGAATAACTCTTCTTACTGTACTATGTATGTACTACTGTGGTTGGGTTTGACAAAAAAAACCAACAGGCACTTACCAGATTTAGGCACAAGAAATAGAAGATCTGCCTAGAATCATACTCCTCAAGGATTTGTTTCAGTGACTCCTTAATAAACCGGGGTAATGACTGAGAGCTCTGCTGTAATGCATCACCCATGAAGTTATAGAGAGGAGTGCCTTCAGGGGAATAGCCAATAAGGGTACCCTTCTGCCCTTTCCTGGAGGGGGAGGACAGGATATTGGCAGCTGCAAGGAAAGTATTGAAGTTTTTGTTGCTGTTTCTAAGCTTCACAGTAATTTTATAATGTGTTTTATCAGCAGTCAAAGCTTACATGAAATTTGCAGGCAGCAAAGTTATTGTCAACTTCATCTTGAGGTTTATCATAAGATTTCATTGCTATATAAGATTACATCATCACTTTCACAACAGATCTATTGCATTCTTTTTTTTGTAGACAGACAGTAAGAGCACAAAATTACAGGCCCTCTTTATCTAAAAGAATCCATAAAAGCTCATCCAAAAGAATTCTGCACACATCCATTTTCTGATGTGTGGCTTCCTCGTCACACAGACAATAGATTTATCAAAAGATAAATAAGAATACGTACATAAAATGAAGAAGACAGCACTCACTACCACACCTCCAGAAAGAACATGCTCTGTGCTTTCATGGTGTGGTGGCTTATTCATAGCTCGAAGCTGGTCTGTTATTGGATGTGTCCAAAAGTTGCCAAAAAGCAGTGCACTAATGAAAATAAGAAAGGATCCATATCGAGCACATGTGGAAGCTTCCATCTTGACAGAGCATATGGACTCCACGTAGAAATCCAGGATCACAACAAAAAAGATGACTGTTATGAAAGGCATGATGAGAGAAGACCAAGACTCTACTTTACTCTGCAACAAAAAATACATTTCAAACAGGACTGTTCACCATTAGGTGTGTATATACAGCATTAAATCTAGTTCACTTTCATTACAAATGTTTTCAGCAATCCACCAAAACATAAATACTTTTATACTTCAAATTTATCACATAAAACCAACACTCTAGCTATAGAAAGAGACATACAGTTAATATGCACTACGGTACTTTACTTTAAATACTTTCATGTGCTTAAAGCAATGCCATGTGCAACGCCATGTTTGCAATGGTTTACTCTCCATAAACATGCAGGCATCATGAACATGTCTTTAATAATCTACTCCTCAGGAAAAAAAGAACCCTGTATTTATATAGTCATTAATACTTGTGCTATGTTAATATATGAATCCAGGATATAATATCTGAGCTAGAAAGATGAAATAAAGTTATCACACAGAAGAGGAAATTATGGTATCACACAGATATACATCAAAATATAGGGGAAAAATTTCAAACAGAGCTTACTACAAAAATAAAGATGGCAACTTTGGTAATTGTAAAGATATTTTAAAGGTAAAGGAAAGATTTAAATTGTACTTCACAAGCAGAAGCATTACAAAAAATGATGTATTTTTGTACTTGCTATCTTACCTCTGTTGTCAGAGAAAGGACAATGACCCAGGGGCACAACAGAAGGACGGAAACAAGATGAGACAAAGCTTGAAGACGCTTGGCTCCACCTACATCTACAGACAGTTTTCGGGAAGCCATGTGAAAACCAACCTTACAGCACAATGCCAGTACCAGAAGCAGAACTCCTCCCTGGAAACACAGAAGGATCCCGTCAGCATGCCTTAAGAGCCAGATACCTCACTCCAAACAAAGTGACACTTACATGAAAAAAGATTAATATGCTTTCCTTATCAACAAAAGCCAAAGACAAGGTATTTCCTGTAATTGTTACCCTAGTTAAAAACAGTAACATAGCATACGTGGTTATACCTCAGCACTATTCACAACAGCCTACTATGACTTGAAGTTTAAAACTCTCAATAGTGTTAATTGGCATACAACAGCAGTGAATAGGTAGCAAACAGCATATGAAGAAAAAGAAAAATCACACAAAACTTGGTTTCCCATCTTCCATTATTAAAAATGTTGAAAGCATATGTAAACCCCAAAAGTGTCACGTCACCTTGGCCTCTAAGCCTTTCATAACCTTTTCATTCCCTTACCTTCAATCGCACCATACCATATTTCTTCACAATATTTTCTTTCAAAATTGTTCTACAAATGAACAAGATACACACACAGCATCTCATCTCCCTTAGAACACACTTGCTTTGCACAGTTAACCAGTCTCTCTAACATTTGATTTATTTTTATATTAATACTTCCTCGGCTGCTCCATATATTTTTTTTCCTGTTTTAGTCCTCAATGCAGCCACTTTAGCAACAAGACTAAGCTAACAGAACAGATCAATCAGATAGGTCAATCCCATATAGTAAGATTTTGATAGTTATTCATGCCACCAATTATAATGGGAGTATACTGTGGAGAAGTATCAGAATCTGTGTCTTCAAACACAAGCATCTAATATAAAGGAAAGACTGGGGAAAGATAAAGAAGCAGCAACAAAACACAGACCCCAAAAGTGAGCAAGAAACAGCTTATATGCAAAGCATTATGAACATCCAGGATACTGATGACACAATACTTTATGATAATTTTAATAAGACTTTTTAGGTTACACATTACAGCAAAGTCCTTCTCAGCTATACAAGTTGAATATTGTATGGTTTGGTTTGCTGTATCGAAGATGCTCATATTCAATCAAGATGTAAAAATTAAAGTGCTAGTTCCGTTCCAATAAGGGGTGCAGATGTTGAACTTTTTGGTTTTGATTTACACTTGATTAGCTCTGAGGTGGTGAAATTCTTACCTTATATTAACCTACTAAAATACAAGTTATTTAGTTATTTACCTTGTGATCTGCAACACCTAGGAAAGCAATGATTGTATACAGAACATGGGTAAGAGCACTGTCATGATGCCCCTCAGCTAAATAAAAAAAAATTAAGGAAGAGTTTCATTCGATGATTATTTTTTTTTTAACCAAAGAAAAGACAGAGGTAGAAGACAACCACAGAAAGCAGAAGTAAGCAAACCGAGCTTTAAGGTTTGTCAGATCCTTAAAATTTAGGAAAGATGAAAATATTTCCACAGAAAATAGTTAAAAATATTAAGGACAAGGGGGAAGAGTATTTTAAAACATGAACACATAGTCATTGTTAAATACTGTACAGCAGCCATGATACAGGATTTATGTTAATTTTGGCAATGAGACTTTGAAAAATATACTCAACAGCATTAAAAATTAGACTGATTTTCACTAAAAGCCCTAAAACAGCGAGTTGTCTGAAATATCATCTATATCTTTCCAGTTTTCTGCCCCTCTACTCCACTCTGGTGAGACCCCACCTGAAGTACTGCGTCCAGCTCTGGGGTCCTCAGTACAGGAAAGTCATGGACCTGTTGGAGTGGGTCCAGAGGAGGGTCACAAAAACGATCAGAGGGCTGGAACACCTCTCCTGTAAGGAAAGGCTGAGAGAGTTGGGGTTGTTCAGCCTGGAGAAGAAAAGGCTGTGGGGATACCTTATTGCAGCCTTTCAGTACTTAAAAGGGGCTTATAAGAAAGATGGGGACAAACTTTTTAGCAGGGCCTGTTGTGATAGGACAAGGGGTAATGGTTTTAAACTAAAAGAAGGTAGATTCAGACTGGATCTAAGGAAATTTTTATGATGAGGGTAGTGAAACACTGGCACAGGTTGCCCAGAGACGTGGTAGATGCCCCATCCTGGAAACATTCAAGGTCAGGCTGGATGGGGCTCTGAGCCTGATCTAGTTGAAGATGTCCCTGCTCACTGCAGGGGGGTTTGACTAGATGACCTTTAAAGGTCCCTTCCAACCCAAACCATTCTATGATTCTGTGATTCTACGAATATTTCTGGATATATGGAAAAGACTGCCAGCCAGGCTGTCAACCATTTAATGCACAGACTTTGGCTATGTCTAGAATTTCTAAAAAAAAAGGAGAGCTGATCAAAAAAGCTTCTAACAATCCTAAGTGGTCTGAGATGTGCAAATACGCAGGGAGCCTTTAACTACAATTTAAAATCTACAGCTATGTTCTAAGTTCTGAAAGTAAGCAATGCTACTCATTCTGCTGTAAATATCAGTATTTAGATGTAAAAGTAAAATCTTATAATGTTCTTGAAAGGTAAGATTCCTATTAGGAAAAATGCAAGCATATTTAATTCAGTGCACTCAACTTCACATTTTCTCTGTAATTTCCCAGTAATAATAGGCACTTGCTCTTGCTCTTACACATAGCAAGAAAGGATACGATGTTCTGCTATCTTAGCCATGAGGTCGTCATTATCAAAAAGTAGTAAGCAGATGACAGCTATGATGAAAAATGCAGCACCTCTTGTCTGTAAAAAAAACAAAACACAAAAACACACCCTAAATATTTTTATGTGCTGAAACAGATTAATCTAAAAAAATCCAGGAAATCAGTCCTCTCCCTCCCCTCCTCCTGATCAGTCTAAGCATATTTTAGTTAAGTAAGAAAAACATCAGGAAAAATTTTTTTAATTTTTTAAAAAAATTGACCTGGACAATATAATTTTATATTTATTCTGGTTTTCAGATTTACCAGATAACTCAGGGCAAATCACCACTGTAACAAGCTAGAAGCCTGTATCTTACAAACTTCAAGTGTGATTGCTTCCTTCTTCATGGTGTGTTTCTGCCTGTCAGAGTGCACAGGTACTTTAGCCTGATGATTTAATATTCTGTAGCAGCAAGGAGCCATAAACAAGATCTAGTGGACAAACTAGAATTTTGTCTTAGGGGAGGAGAAGGCTAGAGCACTGTGCAAAGGCTCTAAGAAAGCAGAGCTCTGCAGTGCTTTTATAGGGATGGTACAGAGGTAGCTATGAAATCCCAGCTCCCAGAGCTTTCACCACCCTGATTTAAGACACTGCAATTTTGGTATTCATATCTTGGCAAGACACTGAGCTCTACAGCTAAAAAATACTATTACAATTCATCTTCTGAAGCCAAATACAGCTATCACATTCTTGTTTTGGAAAGTCAGCTGACCTCTTTGCCACAGTTCACTTCAAAAAGCTGAAATACTCAAAAGGACAGGGTTATCATTCCCTTGTTTCTGCTGTGTTAGATATGCAGCTTAACTGCCAAGCATGGCCCACCAAGACACAGATTGACAAAGAACCTCTCTGAAGCTCTACATCTACCCCTCGGGTGGCTGGCTGGAGAAAAAAATTGTCTTCTAGACAAAGAGCTTCATGCTGGATGCCCTAAGCATCTCAATTTGAGGGGGGTGGGCATAGAGAGTCAGAGCAGATGACTGTGCTATTCACTCTAAGGCCAGCCTAAAAGTGATTAAGGGACTCCAGCAGCAGTTATGATACAGTTTTCAAAACTCCCAGCCTGAGGCAGCACCAAAACCAGACTTTCTCTTACACAGCAAGTATGCTAGCCTCAGGCATATGACATCATAAGGTATCCTCCTCTTTTTTGAGTGAAAGTGGTGAAGACTCCTAGGTCCTGGCACGAGCTCATTCCACTTGGGGCTGATTAGGCACAGTTAGAGAACACCTTGCGAAATTGTGTGTAATGGGACTCAGACAAAGGATGTCTCAAGTACAGATCTCTAGTTAAGTGAAAGACTGGGCCCAAGTATTCAGCACACACAGGCTCATGCAGACCTTAAAGTACTTAGAGAACTTTTTGGCAGAAAAAAAGTACATGAAAAAGCTACAGACACTGAAGAGGCTAGGCAAGGATCTGGAGACTGTATTGCTGGACTTCAGTGCCTAAAGGCCAGGACCACTACATGCACATATGTCCTTTTGTCCGTTTGGACCCCAAATGCTGTTACAAAGAATGCTGAAGTGTAAAAATCATTCTCAAGGTTCTTTTCCGCCTTCAAACAGAAAAAATTCTCAGGTATCTGCCATGGATCTCCAACAGCTTCACCCACTGTTTCTCTCTTAATGTCATATTTATTACAAGTAGTATTTTTTATAATTTTACCACTAATCAAACTAAAAAAAGCGCAGTTTCTGTGAACATAGGTCCAAACCACTGTTTGTTCCTGGTAAAAAAGTACTTGAATTTATAGCATTCAGTATTTTTTACATTTGGTAAAACAAATTTTTAAGTACCTTTGCTGGTCCTCCACCTGAGCTTGTGAACATGACACTAAGGAGTGATAGCACAACCACATCACTATGCTCAAACAGCAACAATGTCCTATAAAAAAGTGAAATAAACACTTATGTCCGCTTATAAGTTTACCTCACAAGCTTAATATATACTATTTCAGCTATAATTCAATGACACAGCAGTCAAAGATTTATCCTGTGATTTCAATAGCAAGTTTAAACAATTCAAGAGGATAAATGCAAATCTATTTGCCTTCACCAGCAATAGATTTAGCTGCGGACAGCTAGACGTATCACAAAACAAAGAACTTCCTAAATCAAGGAACAGATGAATATTATTAATTTATAATTACTTTAAATTGTACTTTCTTCTAGTAACACAACAAGATACTAACTTACTCAAAATGGAATTATTATTCCCATTACAATACCTCCTCTAAACCAAAGTTTCTGGCTCTCAGAAAAAAGAGGTCCTGTCCTGTATCCTGTTTATTGAGGTGTTAATGGTCTAGTAGTTTATGCAACCTCAGAACATCTTAATTGCTGAAAATAAGAAATTCTAACTTGCACACTACCTCCTTCAGATAGCAAAGGCTGACTAACAAGCTATATTGACAGCTTTTCAGGGTGGAACATGACAGTAATAATCACTGTCAAGTTTACCAAATGCTTCTGCCATTCTCCACACAGCAATCCAGGCTGCTAGGGTCCATGTTACTGGTTCTGTTTGGGAAGACTGCCAGCACCCAGAAAGGCACTACAGTATTAAGAACTCCTATTATTCTCAGGTGTGCCTTCTCCTGTGTAGAGGATAAAACTTCAACTTCATAAAAAGTATTATTTAAGGGTTTACCTTCCTCTCTCTAATGAAAGATGCTTTCTAATTGTGCTGGTTTTGGCTGGGATAGAATTAATTTTCTTCATAGTAGCTGGTATGGGGCTACGTTTTGAATTTGTGCTGAAAACAGTGTTGACAATACAAAGATCTTTCAGTTACTGCCGAGCAGCACTTACACAGAGCCAAGGCCTTTTCTGCTTCTCACCCCACCCCACCAGCGAGTAGGCTGGGGGTGCAGCACAAGAAGCTGGGAGCGGACACAGCCGGGACAGCTGACCCCAACTGACCAAAGGGATATTCCAGACCATATGACCTCAGGCTCAGCATAGAAAGCTGGGGGAAGAAGAAGAAGGTGGGAGGGATGTTTGGAGTGATAGAGTCTGTCTTCTCAAGTAACTGTTACGCGTGATAGAGCCCTGCTTTCCCGGAGATGGCTGAACACCTGCCTGCCAATGGGAAGTGGTGAATGAATTCCTTGTTTTGCTTTGCCTACCTGTGCAGTTTTTGCTTTACCTATTAAACTGTCTTTATCGCAACCCACGAGTTTTCTCACTTTTAGCCTTCTGATTCTCTTCCCCATCCCACCTGGCGGGGAGTGAGCGAGTGGCTGTGTGGTGCTTAGTTGCTGGCTGGGGTTAAACCACGACACTAATCCATTAACCTTCATTTTTGGAAGTCTAATGTTATTCTTTTTTAGTTACTCAGTCAGCACTGCCAACAAACAGCACAAGTGATTTTACTCAGAGTATACGCACTAATGCCACCCAATTCCAACACAGCACAGGCATATGATTAGATAAAGCAGTGCCCTGCAACAAATGCAGAAATTGATTCTAGTTAGCTGGCACAGGAATACAAGCTGCTATCACTAGCTGTCAAGCCATAGACTCCCAACAGTTACATAAACAATTGGGGTTACATTAATGAGACTAGGAAATGATGAAATCCACAGTCAGTGATCTCGTATCATTCACATCAATAGTTTAAGCACTATCAAGACCTTCCTCTGGCATCTTGTCAAAGAATGAATGAAGAAAATTACAAATTCTACAGAAAATTACATGTAGCTTTTCCCAAGCACAACAGAGTTCACTGGAAAAAGCATAAAGATCCATTTAAAATTTCAAAAAATAGAGCAAGAGGCTGGCATCATAAGCTAATGGAGACGAAACAAAAAACCAAAGGAACGAGACAGGGAAAGATCACAAAAATTAGCTTAAAAAGATAACACATTGTTTACAGTTAATATATATTTACCTCAGTGGTCCACAAAGAGTAAGGCCAAAAAACCACAAGAGTGAAATGATAGATCCCACAACAGCATGCTTAAAAATTTTGATCCACTACAAAAGAAAGGTATTTCATTATAATTGTCTCCACTGTATCAGAATAAACACCCCACTATTAGCATTCTTCTAGCACAGCAGCTGTAGAAATAGAGGGGAAAACATATGCTCTGCAAGTTCTGCAAAATTTAGAGTATGATTATCTTCTTAACTACTTTGCCAGGCAACTAAGGTTTCTTTGGACATATCATGAAGCAGAATTACTTATTTCTTTTCTACCACAGTACTAGATTGTATAGTATAGTCTGAGATCTCTTTAATAAGAACCTTGAAAAAACACTGAAAAAAATTCAAGTCCATTTACCTGTCAAAGATGCTGTTTGTTTTCTAATCTATTTTATGTATCTGATAAATATATATAGAACTAGATAAAACATCCAAGATAAAGAGACTAAGACCTTAAGTCTACATACATTTATGCATGTGTTAAATTCTTTCTTCAGGATGCAGGTTATAATTCAGCTATTCAATACATTATTAACTGTAAATGCAAATTTTTTAAGAAAAGTAACTCATTTTGGAAATACATTAAACAAGACAAAGTACCTACAACAAACATCAACATCCTCAAAATGCAGAATTTTAAAATTTTAAACAAGAGCAAAACAATACACACACAGATTTTTCCAAACACAAATCAAAGATGCAATTTACTCCTGTTCACACTTTAAAATTCTGCCATACCTGTCTAATCAGAAAAGCAGCTGACATTTGTAACATTTCTCAGGCTATCCTTCAGATTCTCTCTACTTAGCACATACACTGATGACATCGTGCATGGATCAAGTTTTTGTGCACACAGTTACATAAAACCAAGATGAATATGGAGCAAGTAAAAATTTCTTAAACAGCAGGTTCCAACCTGGCCCTACTCTGACATCTCAGGATACTGGGAACTCAACGCAGGTTTGAAGAGCATAGACTAGCCCCTCATCACAATGCACCACGCAAAAGCACTCTTTTGGCATGGGGAACGTGACTGGAGCACTTCAACATTCTGGCAGTCCAGAAACTGCCCTTTGAAACTGTCTCAGCCAAGTAGACTAAGCTCTTCTTGCAAATCCAGTCCTCAGAACAGATGCTTGTATGGAGCCAAGGACCAATCTTTTCACAATACATGGCTAAAAATGCTGATTGTTTTTTACAGTGCGTTAGACACAAAGTTAGTTACATGCTTCTGGAAATTGCTATCACATCTTCCAAGTGCAGCAACCTTTGTTCCCCTTTCACTTTTGGCAAGAGCCATGCTGTCAAGAATATCTACAAAGATGTGAATCATTATTACATCTGTCAACTCACCTGATGCTTGGTTACCACTTTTCCAGAAGAAAATGGTTTTTGAAACAAAACCATAAAAAATGCAGACCTGTTAAAAGAAGAAAGTTTTCTCTATTCGTGTATTAGCAGTCAGCTTTTTATTCACACCAGCTCTAAATAACTAGGCCTCTCCTATCAGGCTCAGTTGACAACATGGCTTCTCTACATTTTTCATTTAAAGGCCACACTGACCACACCCACTGGTTTTATTTTCCCTGCTGCATTGTGTCAGAAACCAGTACAAAGGTCATGACAAGTGAACTTCAGTTCTGGTCAATTTTAAATGCAAGTTCTTCAGAGAATGCCTAATGAGAACTCTACCTGTGATTTACAAAAATCAAAATACTGATCTCAGAAATTTTGAGAAATACTACTATGTTTTTTATTAGCAAGATACATACACCCGAAGGCTTACTCACATACAGAATGCTGAATACACAGCATGTTAGAAATGGTAAGGAACAGCACACATCTTCCTCAACTGGGACCAAGAGTAAGTGATGGGGAAAAACACTACAGTGCTTGGGAACATGCAAGTGAGAAGCCCAGAAATGTAAACAAATTTGAAACAGAAGACAAAAACGAGGTTCCAAATGTTCCAGCTCTGCCCAGTGTATTATAGAAATGCTCTTCCACATCGTATCAGGTAAACGTGAAGCAGGATTGTGTCTGCAAAGATTGTTTCTGTGTATTTGCTATCAGTTTCTACACTTTAGATCTCAATCAAGGAAAAACAGCAGCTGAAGCTCGCAAGAACTAGAGGAATACAAATTATAAGGAAGAAAGCTTGTTTTCTACACCCTTCTTAAGAAAACTTGGACATGTCTGAATTTCCCGTGATCAGTACCATCACAGTATGATCAATTTTGAAGTAGCAAAACCACTGAAGCTTCTCAAGGCTAAAGCGGCCTTATGGAGATATCTGGACAGACTTGGAGAGCTGAGCAATCACCAACCGTATGAAATTTAACAACATGAAGTGCCGGACTCTGCACCTGGGACCAGGTAGTTCTGGTTACACGTATGAACTGGGGGATGAGAGGCTGGAAGGCAGCCCTGTGGAAAGAGATCTGGGCGTCTGGGTTGATGGCAAGTTGAACATGAGTCAACAGTGTGTCCTGCCAGCCAAAAGGGCCAACCATGTCCTGGGGTGCATCAAGCACAGCACAGCTAGCTGGTCGAGGGAGGCGACTGTCCCACTTTGCACTGCACTGGTGCAGTCCCACCTTGAGTACTGTGTGCAGTTCTGGGTGCCTCAATATAAGGACAGTAAACTGTTAAATGCGTCCAGAGGAGGGTAACCAAGATGACGAAAGGCCTCGAGAGCAAGACTTAGGAGTGGCCTAGGTCACTTGTCTTGTTCAGCTTGGAGAAGAGAAGGCTGAGGGGTGACCTCATCATAGCCTACAGCTTCCTCAAGGGGGGCAGCAGAGGTGCTGATCTCCTCTCTCTGGTGACCAGCAATAGGATGTGAGGAGACGGAAAGAAGCTGTGTCAGGGGAAGTGTTGATTGAACATTAGGAAAAGGTTTTTTATTGAGAGGGTGGTCGGTCACTGGAACAGGCTCCCCAGGGAAGTGATCATGGCACCAAGCCTGTCAGAGTTCAAGGAGTGTCTGGATGATGCTTTTAGTCATGTGGCTTTGTGTTAGGTAGTCCTGCGAGAAGCAGGGAGATGGACTTGATGATCCTTATGGGTCCCTTCCAACTAGAGATATTGTACAATTCTGAAATTATAGTGAGCAGAGATATGAGAGAAAAACACTGCTATGAACAGAGTATTTCCTGGATCCACTGGTACACCTTCTCTTCCTCGATTAATCTACAATAACATAATGCAGGGTATAAGCTTGACGCTGACAGAGAACACCATGGACAAAGTGTGCCTGAACAGCGGCGGACAGGGCTTCACCCCCTGCACACTCACCCCAGCTGCACTATAAAGATAAACTGCACGAGGTGGACTGCTTTCAGAAGATCGTAGGATTCAAACAGCCCCACGGCTTTCAAAAACTTGGTGAAGCACAGCAGCACGATGTACCGCGTCAGCCTGCAAAAGCGGAGAGGGCCGTTCGCACCTGCCACCACGCACACGCCGCTGCCTCCCGGGCCAGGGCCAGGGCCCGGTTCCAGGCCCAGGCCCAGGCCCCGCCGCCGGTCCCGGTCCCTCCCCCTCCCCCTCCCCGGCGGCCCTGCGCCTCACGCGGAGGAGGCCGCCGGCTCCCGCCGCCCGCGGAAGGCTGAAGGGCGATGCTCGCTGCTCCCCAGAGGGAGGGACGGCGACGGGCTTGCCCCCCTCCCCCAGCGGGGCGGCCCCTCCCCCCCCCCCCCCCCCCCCGCCGCCGTTACCGGGCGCTGGGCACATCCACGGGCCCCAGCACGCCGCCGCCGGCCAAGGCCTGCCCGCTGTACTTCTCCTCCATGCCGGGGCGGCGCAGCGGGCGCGGCCCCACGCCCCTGCGAGGGGAGAGGTGCGAGGGAAGGGGTGCGAGCGCTCAGGCGCTCAGGCGCGGCCCGCCTCCCCCGCAGCGGGGGCACCTCATCCTCCGCGGCCGGTAGGGCCGCCGCAGCGGGAAGGGAGCGGGAGGCCAGGCCAGGCCTACCCCGGCCCGCGCGAGCAGGGAGGCCAGGTCTCCCCCGGACCGCGCGAGCAGGGAGGCCAGG